ATGTAAGGATCATCTGGAGGATAAAATACAAGGATACTAGGAGCAAAAATAAAGAAAAAGGAAAGAAGTAAAAAACTGGAAATTAACCAGCACGGATCCGAGCTCAGATCCGTGTGAACAAATGGCGATCCGAGCTCTCGTTTGTACTTCTGGAGCAGTGCATTCGAGGACATACGATCCGAGCTCGGATTCATAAGAGAAAGGCCTCGGATCAGCCATGATCCGAGCTTGAATCCTTCTTCACCCCTCGGATCCGAGGCTCGGATTTGCCTCTTTCTTCTACAAGTGGCACAATCATTTTTTCTCATTTTTCACACAACTTTTCAGCTATCTTGGGTGTGAGAATACGGTGGCACATGCTTCTGCAACAAAAAGGAAGACAAAATGAGTTATTGACAAGTCAAAACAACATATCGTTTGACTTCCTCTACAAAATCTGAGTGGTTGGAATCATGAAGGAGAAAAAAAGTGTCTTTCTACCACCTTTTATGCAGAGAAACAAGGAGAAGCCAAGGAGGACCATACGTAGCTCGTTTTTCTTCTAGTAACATTTTTTTCTCTCTAGCTAGAAGTTCTTGAGGAAGCACTTGGAGACTTCACTTGTAATCATCTTGAACAAGACAGCAGAAATTTGAGGGCTTCACCATTACTTGGCTAAGCTTTCCTTTATCTTTCTTGTACTTGTACTTTATGATGTTTTGCATTAATAAACTTGTGAGTTTGATTGTTATATCATTCATGAGTAGCTAAACTTCTTTATCTAGGGAGTAGATGAAACTTATGGCTAAATGATATGAATTGAATGTGATTTACACTTGTTGTATCTTGTATTAACTTGTCTATTTGTGTAGTTGTAATTACTTGTTATTGTTTGATCACCAATAGCATGTTTATAGTTGTTATTATTCAATGAGAATTGGTAGTAATAATGGAAACACATGAGTAGAGTTTAAGTTGTATGTTCATGAAAATAGAGGTACACTTAAGTGGATTACTTAGCATTTCATGAAGAAAAACAGAGTAGAACTAGTATTTCACAATGAAGATAGGGAAAATTGAACTACTCTAGGTTATTTTATCATGAGAATGAGATTTGGTAATATTGGAAATAAATCCCTGGTTTAACAAGAATAATAACAAGAGGCAAATCTATTCATTTGTGTTGTTTATGCCATAAGTGAAATCTATATCCCTAAATTTAAGTCTTTAGTAAAGAAATCTCCATTTCAATTTATTAAACCAGATTTGTAGACAATAGCATTATAATCTTCTTGCTCAGATTTATCGTAAGTCTAAATAATAGAGAAAATAAGAGCCTAGTACTTGTTTAAATTGCTCCTTGTGGGATCGACCTGATATTTGCCCAAAACTACTAAGTGACCTGTATACTTGCAGTTCAACGGGTAAATTTCAGAAATAAACTTGCATTGATATAAAAATCCCGTCAACAGCTACAGCAAGGGATTTGGTCACTTTATTCATCAGTGGAATTATTACAAGAATGAGAACTTAATAAATTCCAGGCAAGCTTATTTATCAGATTTAAATATGCACCAAATGCATGATGAAAATCTTAGCTTCTATTTTAGTACAATAAGAAGCTATAAAAAGCAAGCAATCATTGAAACTCAATAGCTCTTATGATTTAAAATCAACTGGAATCATATTTCCCTTGAAGATAGCACTCCTCTTGTTTTGAATATTGCACAGACCTCCCCTATTTTTGTTGTTTCGGTAACGAAACCTAATAAATAGCAGTAATTTTAATTATAATACCAAAACTACCCTTTTGCTAAAAAGGAACGAAAGAGGTGAAGAAAATAACCTACTGTAATGCCTGTCGAGTAGGTGCCAAATCGGTACCGCCACCAACACCACTACTGCCAACTCTGTTACCTTGTTGCTACCATAATAATGGCAAACTACTAGCTAAAGTGGAAAAAAATGTAATAAATAAAAATTACTGCTATAAACTTTTTTTAAGCAACAGTTAATTTTCATTGATAAGAAAAAAAGATTACGCAAGGATCACTAACAAGGTGTTTCATTTCCTGTCTATTTAATATCCTCGGTTATAACAGTCTTTAACTGGTTTCGTCGGTTGATAGACTATTTTCTGTTGATGTATTCACATCGACTGTCAGCTGTCAGGTTTCATGAACCTCGAAAGAGTCCACCAAATAGTCTAATATATAATTTAGGAATCCAACTCTGATCCAAAAATTTAAACCATTAGATCTTGGACTCTTACTTACATATTAACTGCTCTTTCTCCATCTCTCGAACCAATGTGGTGGGGCATAATCGTTTGCTCATGAACCTAATATTTCAGAATATCCATATATTTTTTCTTATCATCATCTGCTTGGAAGAGAGTTGCATCTATTAATTAAGAGCATGGCCAAGCATACAGCAAGCATCAATCTCAACTGAGCTTTTAGTTGTGGAGACCCATCTCTCGGTGTGCTTTTAAAACTCATTAAATTGTTTCAATTTCCTGCATGATGCTTGAGAGATATTTCGTTCTTCTTCTCAGTTTCTAAGCATACATATCCTAAAGGATATTATTTACACGAGTTCCACATCAATTGCATTCAAGTATCTTCTACACAATATTATGTCGTATTTTATGTTTTGCTTTCTAGATGTTCTGGTAAAGCAATTTGCCAAGGATCTTGCTCAATCTATAGCAGTCAAGAGAAGTTGCAGCTGTATAGATGTGATGCAATGCCTTATCATTTTCTCTCCCTCTCTCTTCAATTATACGTCCCTTTGAATTTTGAGCATGAAATATGAGGACCAGAATTGAATGGTACTTAGATATTTTAGATTATTCAGCTTGTGACCTAGAATTGGGGTTACAGAAGATTGTACATTTCAGAGTTTGTAGTTAATAGCAATGCATCTTATTCCATTGGTAATCTACATGTTTTTCTTTTTTCAGCTAATGAGCTAGAAAGCGAAGTTTGACAAAATGTACATCTCAGCGTTTATTTTACCTAACACTTTCCATGCCAAGTTTTTCCAGTTAATGAAGGAAATTTCTAGGTCCTCGTAATTGAAAAACACAAACTGGCAAGTATTGGCCTATTGTGGTGTAGAAAAAGTAAAACTGGATCTGCCAAGTAGAAGGGACAAACAATATTGGAGTTTTGTGATTTAAAGACAAAGGAAAAAAGTGGGATTGGTAACTCTTAGAAAGCAAACAAAAAGCAAGAAAGAAATGTTGCCTGCCCAAGGAAGTAGGAATCAAGCAGTACCTGTGTGTGTGTGTATATATATATATATATAGAGAGAGAGAGAGAGTACCTGTGTGTGTGTGTGTGTATATATATATATATAGAGAGAGAGAGTACCTGTGTGTGTGTGTGTATATATATATATATATAGAGAGAGAGAGAGAGAGAGAGCAGAAAATGGTGTACCATACTAGCTAGCTGATTTTGTACTTTTTACAGCAAGTCCTTAAGAGGCCATTCATGATTCATCTAATAATTGAGAGAATGAATAGCAAAATCCTACCATATCTGCAGTCAATTACTTGACCAGGACATCTACAATTTTGTGTAAACTATTATTGACAATCCACCTTCTTCCACATGTATGTTAATCTGTGCATGATTCCACATTCAAACTGGCCAAGTAGAATCCAATAATTCAATTGGTTGAAAAGTTTATTCTTGGTAAAGTAGGAACTGCCAGTAAACCTCTTCAGATGCATGATGTAAGTACGTAGAATTAATTCTTTTCGTAATTAAAGTAAAAGAAATTACTTTTGCATTTATAAAAGTGTTAGAGACATCAGACAAGTACCATTGTAACTGTGCTTGACAAGAAAACTGCACCGCAGCATTCTCATGACAATAATTTTCTTGATGAAGTAACACAATGTATATGAAGGTAAAAATGTTTAAATCGCCCATGCAAAACACGAGTTTTATTCCAGTATTTTGTGTATTCGAACACGAAAAGAATACGTCTTGTACATCACTCTTTTTTGGTCAAGCTTTCCAGTTTTCACATCATCTTTGTATTACAAGAGTACTAAATTTATTTCTTTTCCTTTTTGCATTAGGTATCCGTTAGTGTTTTAGTGACTTTAAATGCTGCTTCATTTCGCCCCAAGGCATTTTCACTTCAACTTCTGTTGTCTAAATGAAGAGTTTATTGGACTTTATCGATCAGAATCATGAAGTAGGTATACAAGCAAGCTGCCTACCAGATCTAGTGGTCAATTTCATGAATGTAAATACTATGATATTTTTAACAAATTATTCTCATCCTCTTTATCCGAGAACCTAAAAAATTTTAGAAGGTTCAGATTAAAAAAAAAAAGAGAAAAACAAGAAGAAAAGAATTTAACATAATTGACATGGAATCACTATTAAGAAATTAATATAGGCTCACAATAATAATATCCTATTAGGATGTTAACAAAAACAAAACAAGAAAAAAATATCTATCTATAAGTTTTGCATCTTCAGTGTCTGCAAATTGCAATGTTTAAGTATGGGATAATTAATGACCTTGTGGCTACAGGTGCCTAGTGTCCATGAGATTAATGACGAGAAAGAGAAACTTGTGGAATGGAAATCAAGAAATATATTGATTGATTTAATGGTGAGACAGTACATTTTTCTTAAAGCAAGTGGCAACACCATATTATACTCATACACTTTGATTAGCCAGATTTAATGTCCACAGCCATCTAAAATCGCATGTAATTAAAAAAAATCCCGTGTCATTAATACCTATGGGTGATGGATATACTTCTCAAATGACAATTTCATCAGAAATAAATTTTGCAATGTGATTTTATCATTTTCATCATATTTAACACGTGAAGTCTCATTTTTTGACTAACCCTCAAGATAAGACTTTGAGAGCAATACAGATTCCCAACAGTCATTTTCATAGTTATTGGGAGTATTCAATAATGCTTTTAGACAATAAGAAAAAGATTTTTCTGCTAGCAATTCTCTTCTATAAATAGAGAACTCGCATGTTGCTATAGTGCAGTATAGATAGGCTGCATAGAAACATTAATTTAGCAGCAATGGTTGCAAGAAGCCTCCTCTTCGTCTTCCTCCTTGCTCATTATTTAGGTCATAGCTATGCAGCAACACCAAGTCATTATTCCAGACCTCCATTCAACAGAAGTAGTTTCCCAGATGACTTTCTTTTTGGAGCAGCTACTGCTGCTTATCAGGTATACACTGGTTAACCTAGACGCTTGGAAAGTAAAATGCATTTATTATGGTAGAAATGCCTATTCAAGAAACCAAATTTTCCCGACCCTTTTGCCCTTGGGTTCTGTTTCTAAGATTAATCCTTCATAAATTTTCTTTTCTTCTTTGACAAAACAGAAGCAGGGTTTTCTTGATGGCTACTGGCTATAATTTGAATTTTGTGTTCTAATAAGTTATACAAACTTGTCAAATTCTTTGTTTTTGTTTAAATCTTGTTTTTTTTTTTTAATCAGATTGAGGGAGGAGCTTATGAAGGAGGGAAGGGACCTAGTATATGGGACAATTTTACTCACACGCATCCAGGTTAAATCAACATCCATCTAATTTTTCCTGCATTCATCAATCTAGTTTTTAAAATTACCATGAAGCCCCAAGTTACTTGTTCATTGAACAGGTAATTCGTCAAGAACACAAGAATGTTAAGTCATATAGCTTAACAAAGGCATGAATGACCCTTGGAAGCAAACTAGAAAATATAGAAAATGACAAGGAATAGACTAATTTGCATTTAACTTTTACCACAATTCCACTTAAAAGAAAAAAAAATCCCAACTGTTTGATGGTAATCGATTAATCATGGTCACCAACCACAAATAATCACCAAGAAATTTGCAACTCTTGTCTCTCGCCCGTAACATTTATTGCCAATTTCTTCCGAAAAATTACTGGTGCAATAGCATGTAAAGAATAGTTTACCTATCATGGTAAGTCTAATTAATTATAACAAATGATAACTGACATTAATTAACTGTTCTGCATAGTTAATTCTGAAGCAAAATTTCACGTGCCATGATTGCCATCTTTATCACCGTCATACTTAGTGATTGTGACTATTTTGCTAGCAATGGAAAGGCCAATACGAGTACTACTCCCTTGATTTCTACCTTTCTTGTTGAAAAATCAATTGACTCTTTTTAGCAGATAGGAAATTATTTAAAGGGATAATTTCAGATACCTCCCTTGAGGTTTCTAACAATTACACTTAAATTCCCTCTAAAATTAAAAAATACACTTACCTCCCCTATGTGATAGATGTAACAACATGTTAGCTCCAAAAGCCTCCTAATGACCAACTTGCCCTCAAAATGTTGTGGCTAATATTATTGCAAAAATGTGAGAAAAAAAATTGCCTACAACAATAATATTTTTTTTTATTTGCTTCTTGGCGCAAGCATCTGCAAAAAAAAAAATTGATTTTGTCATTTCTCAACTGTTATGTTGAGAAGCAAAATTGATTTTATTATTCCTCAACTGCCATAGGGAGGAAGAATGCCAAGAGTTAAAAATAGCATTCATTTTTTTTTACACTTTATCCATCTTATATACTGCCAAAATAAAGCCGTTGCAACTTGTCCAACTCTTCTTGCTTTTAACAATCAAAAGTGCAGAATTGTATATATATTCTTTGTTGTACTGAGAGGATCCCTACTATTTTCATATTTTTTGCTCTTTTTTAATTAATTTTTATAAACAAAGTGGTAAATGTTTCGTTCAGAATATAAAGAGGGTAAAGTTGGCAAAAACTTGTATGTCAATACATTTTTTCCACTTTTTAAACTTTCTTTTAGTGACAGGGGGTGCAATATTTATCAAATATGTCCGTCAAAGGGAGGTGAGTGTAATTTTTAATTTTAGAGGATATTTAAGTGCAATTGTCAGAAACATCAAGGTAAGTATCTGAAATTATCCCTTATTTAAAAGCTTTTACAGCTGATTCAATAGTCAATATTGCCAGCATCAAGAACGGTTTTTTGAAAGGAGCGGCAGTGCCCACGTACATAATCCTTATTCAGTTGTTTTATAATACTTAAATTATTTTTTAAAGATTATTAACTCAAAAACAAACTTGCAAAAACAAATGTAAAATGTTTGATCTTGAAGAACTAGCATCAACTTTTGATACTTGTATTAGCATCTGACGAATCAGTATAACAAGAAATTTTTCCCTTACAAAATGGTTTTCTACGTAGATGAAAATCGGATAAACTGATCGACACGAACTTTCTTTTTTAAAAAATTATCTGAACAAAAAAAATTGTGCATTTTAGCAAAATTTTTAGGCAAGAAAATTGTCAGATTGAGACCATACCTTAACCTTAACTATGCCAGCCGGGCCAAAAAATTCTCATTTTAAAAGTGCTCGACCCGGCTGGATGATATTTCATTATTCAGTCAAGATTGTCCTCTGTTAGGACATCACTTTTTTTTTTTTTTGGTTTAAATTTCCCATATACTTCGATAGCTACATATATTAGCTACAAAACAATAAATCCTGAGCCCACCAGCCAGCTCCCTTTGTGCTTGTTTACAAATCACTAATTCATGCTAAGAAAGATTAATTTTTTCTTTTTCAATACTAGGAAAAAAATAATTATTACAAGATTGATGATAGAAGCAGTCCTTTGTTTCCTACCAGAATTATCCCTATAAAATCTAGTATAGAAATCTAATGTAAGTCTGATTGGCACATCAACTCTTAGAAGAAATTAAAGAATGAGTTACCTTAATAGTTTGTCATGACCATAATTTTTTCTTGCAACTAGCTATGTTTCTTGTCACAATCAAAAGATTGAATTCTTATAATGACAGCAATAGAGACATTCTTAAAAGGTCTAGACTGTCAAATTTCCTTTCTTTTTGACCAGCCTTTTATTGGTGACATTTGACAATCAATTTTTTTATTTGTCAATTTTCTTAAACATTTACAGAGAAAATATGGGATCATTCCAATGGAGATGTAGCTATCGATTTTTATCACCGCTATAAGGTGAGTATTTATTTCTTACTCTTTTTTTTTTTTAAAAAACTCTTCTCTTATTGTTGCTCAAAAAGAGGAAGGAAAAAAGAAAAAAAATCTGTTTCTTTTTTCTAATGGATTAGCAGTGGGATACACACCAGGAGCACAGCTGCACTTACTTAAAAAAGGATATTCAAACAGAAATGCAGCCATTAACAGAAACTAAATGTTTGTGCAGCACTTTTTTTCTTTACAATTTTTTTTTTGTTTCTATCTCTATACTTTTCCATTTTTTTTAACGAAATAAATCATATGGTAATATTCCAGGAAGACATCCGTCTAGTCAAGAATATGGGCATGGACGCTTTTAGATTTTCCCTCGCGTGGACCAGAATTGTACCAAGTAAGAATTACCTTTCATGCATAATTATATTTTTTTAACCCTATCAGTCCTTGCACACTGTGAAGAAACCAGTCAATTACAAAATCTGCAGACAAGAAAAAAGTTTTTAATGAGAAGTAGAAGAGAGACATTTCAGTTGAAACAACAATTAATCATTATCACCTTTCGCTGTTCCCAAACTCTTGTACTACACATAAAAATATGAAGCAAGTAGAAATGCTATAACAAGAAAATCCCATGAGCTGGGAAGATAATTAATTAATCTTTGGTTTCTTGGTCTCAAACCAAGTTAAATTGTTTCTCTTGTAGCTGGGAAGATAAGCGAAGGCGTGAATCAAGAAGGTATCAAGTTCTACAATAACGTGATTAATGAAGTTATCGCACTGGGTAATCATTTTTACTTAGTCTGTACGATTTTCTCTTGTATTTTGCTTTTACCTAGTGGAATAACCTACAATATAACCAATCGATCATACCATCTATTCAATGTGCAGGATTAAAACCCTTTGTCACACTTTTTCATTGGGATACTCCCCAAGGTCTTGAAGATGAATATAAAGGATGGCTACATCCCCACATTGTGTAAGTTCTGATGTTATAGTTATAGGAGCCTCAAACATTAAAGCCATTATCAGAATCTGCAATGTGCATAGTACAGGGACCATTTCTGGTTGAAAACAGCAATAGATGCTTATCAGTACTAATTGGGACCATGTACGGGGACTACTTATTTTGGATTTATACATTGATTTATTTGGGGACCATTTTAATTTTCAGGGAGGATTATAAAGACTACGTAGACATCTGCTTCAAAGAATTTGGCGATCGAGTGAAGCATTGGATTACCTTGAATGAGCCAATATCTTTTAGCATGTATGCATATACAACAGGGACATATGCACCTGGTCGATGCTCGGTTTATGCAGGAAATTGCACAAATGGAAATTCTGGAAAAGAGCCTTATATTGTAGCACACCACTTACTTCTTGCTCATGCTACTGCAGCTAAATTGTACAAGGAAAACTATCAGGTTAGAAATTCTATATTAACCAAAATCTTCACGCAACTACTTACCCAAAAAAATAAAAATAAAAAATTCACCCAATTGCAAAATCTCCCCTGCCTCTCCCCGCTTCTTAAGTCCCATTCCTCCCCTGCTGAAAAAAAAAATTAAAAGAAAAATCATAAAAAAACTGCAAAAACCTATATTAGCTATTCATTTTCACCTATGTATGCATGTTTTCAGAAGTCTCAAAAAGGACAGATTGGAGTCACCTATGCAACTCATTGGTTTTTGCCAAAGATTAAGACACCAGAAGGCCTCAAGGCCCCATATAGGGCCCTTGATTTCATGTTAGGGTGGTAAGTGTTGGTTGTTTAAGTTTCATAATTGTGGTCCCATCTTCGACTAAGACTCATTCAATTACCTGTAAAGCCTTAAGTAGATGTCAGTTTAATTTTTAGTTTTCAGTATCTCATTAAAGTTGAAGTGTTGGTTCTCCTAATTGTCAATTTAATAATTGAAGCCCAGTTTTGCGGTTAGGATAATTCTAGTGTGTAAAATTTGAAATAATTAAACTTGTGATGACACTTAGAAATTTATATGCGGCAATTAATCTCCTTAAGTAGAATCATTCCAAGTTTTTTTTTTTCATGAGTATAATTATCTAAGTATATATGTACAGTAGAATCAGTTATAAGAATTTAAAAATTTCCCTTTGCAAATATGGTTTGCTTTTACAATTAATGTACCTTTGCAAAAATTGATGTTTTTCAGGTTTTTGCATCCAATTACATACGGAAATTACCCACCAAGCATGAGAACAATAATTGGGAATCGACTACCAACATTCACAGCAGCTCAATCCAAGATGCTAATTGAGTCAATTGACTTCTTAGGGATGAACTACTATACTTCCAATTACGCATCCCCTGCACTAACCTTCAACAGGGTTAACCTCAGCTACATGTCAGACAATCACCTCATTCTTTCAAGTAAGTGTGGGAAGGGACCCAAAAAAGAAGAAAATACTACATAGTATCAACAAAATGTTATTCATCACTAGGCCTTTTTTGGATATTAGACGTTTCAAATCATAATGAAAACAAATCAAAACTAGAATAAAAAACCAAGAAATGATTTCTTAGTTTCTCCTGTAAATACCGTCCCTCATTCTATTTTATTTGCATTTTGTTTAAGTACCATATAGAAAATTATTTCCTAATGTTTCATGTCCCTTTACTCTGATTAGATATTAAGTTCCAAATAGGGTCTTAACCCTTAAAGCTCTAAAAATTAATAATTTCTGTTTCATGTGTTTCAGCTGACATCGACGGAGTCCCTATTGGTCAACCGGTAAATTAATGCTATTGTTTTAATAAAATGTGCTTTTTATAATATGCTATTCTTTTGGACAATGGTATTTATTACTTGTTCGAATTTGATTATTAAATCCTGCAGACGGGGTTGAATTGGCTTTTCATATGTCCAAAAGGAATTCGGAGCCTTGTGCTTTACATAAAAGAAAAGTACAAGAATCCTCCCATTTTCATCACTGAAAATGGTAAAGCAATTAGATTAAAATTTTCACTTATTTATATCTATATAACATGAAATATATATATATATATATATATTGATGTATGATTTGTGTTTCTCATGATAAAGGCTTGGCGGAGTCAAGAAATGATTCAATTCCTCGTGAAGTAGCCCTAAAGGATGTGATACGGATAAAGTATCATGAAAGCCATCTATGGTATCTCCAAAAGGCAATCAAGTGAGTGCTTTATTTTCTAATTTTTTTAATTTTTTTGTCTGGATGACATCTTTATAACAATCCTTCAATTAAGAAAAATAAAATCACTGATGCCATAAAATTTATCTTTTTGTAATGTAAAATAAAGTTCATTCAAGTCAATACCGCAAAATTCTGAATGTATATATGTTCCAGTTGAATGCCATAACCATAAAGAAAGATCGTCAGGTTAATTTGGTCTTACCAGATGAATTGATTAAACATAAAAAATCTATTTCTCGTTAATTGGTTGTCTACTTAAATCCAGTTTGGTTCTGAAACCAAAAAAAAGTCCGGCTTGATTTGATTTTACGTTCTAAAATACATGGCTTTAGGATTAAACCGTGGAACAAGAACTGTATTAATATAAAGTTGGTCAAGTCCAATTTGTTAACCTCGATGAGAAAAATCAGAGGACTCGAAGACAAATGTTATAAACTTTTACTTTTAAGAAAAATTAGACTTATTTAAAGGCTGCCCTATTTATATGCAGGGAAGGAGCAAATGTAAAGGGATATTTTGCTTGGTCTTTCATTGATGATTATGAATGGGATGCTGGCTTCACTCTCAGATTTGGCCTCAACTATGTGGATTACAAAGAAGGAATGAAGCGATTTCCTAAGCTTTCTGCTCTTTGGTTTAAGAAATTTCTTCGAAAACCATCTAAATAGGCGCGGCCAATCTTGTTTATGTGTTAGTAGGCTTAGTTTTAATGCTGGTCACATAATTATGTATGCATATGCAATAATCTATGTGTCTATGCATACACAATTACCTATGTACCCCAAGAAGAATAATAATCTGATTTTCAGAAATTTTGATTTTTGAGGTATAAAATGTGTTCATTTTTATGGTTATATTGAAGTCTTTTACTGCCAATGGAGAATATACTGTTCTGTTTGGTTGGTATGATTTGCAAAACATAATTTTCAAATATTATTCAACTCGTATCATAGACACGATTTTCATCTATTTTTATTTCGTATATATCATATTATAAAAAGTGCTACAATGTTATATATTTTTTTGATAGAAAATATTATTTCATTCAAACAAATCTGCACTAATGGCAGAAAATAAATCAAACAAACATGACACAGATACATATAGATCTGAAATCAATAGATATACCAGATCTAAGAAAACAATATAAATAAAGATAAAATTGATATTTCTATATATCTTCCATCCGGATAAATCATTGTAGTCCAATACATCAGTGCATGTCTGCTGACAATCAAATTTGTTTAAAACTGATTCAAGTTCAAAGAGAAATTTAGATCTAACAATAATATAAAAATTGCAAATAAATCTACAAAATTTCAAATTTCACAAAGATAAAAACTTAAAAAACTCTTATAAAGAAAAACTCAGAAGAGAATAAAACTCTTACTAGAACAATCTAGGAGAGAAGAAACCCTCACTAGAAAATCCTATGAGAAAAGAATCACTCATTAGAAAATCTTAGGAGAGAATTTATTTAAATAAAATAAACTAAAAACTATAAAGAGTACATCCTCCCTTGAGGAAAGACCAGATTTGGTCTCTCTGCCATGGAAGAGATGAAAAAGATTTTGATGGAAGAGTTCTAGAGAAAAGGGTTTTAGAAAGAGAAGAGAATATGTTTTCTAATGTTAATTCATGCTATTTTAAATATATATATAGTTTTTAAATAATCTCCTATCCAAACAACCCCACTTAATATGACTTGCTAGGCTAAGGTTGAATAATTCTTAGCCATTTAGTGCACATATATTCCATGTCGTAATGTATTTTGTATGCATGGTTCCATCTAAGATAGAAGGAATTATATCTTCTCGGTTTTTAGGAGCGTCAGATTGATCACATATGATTTTGCATTAACATTAAGGGCTAGATGTTTGCCAACACACCATCCTAATTAATTTTATTGTTAAATCCATGTAATTTCAATCCCATTACCAGTAAATGGTGAATAAAATAACATTCAAATATCCAAATAGAACTATAAAACTTTAAATTCTCTTTTAAGTATTAATCCAATCTGTAAACGTAATCTAGAATAACTTGTTGCAAAGATCCCTTTTTTTTTATTTTTATTAGAAAATGAGGTTTTATCTAATTACTACCTTTGATGGAGAGGTCCAATACTGATACAGGTGTATCTTAAGTTGTATTTTCTTTCTTTCTTTTTCATATTTTCTTTTTTTGTACTGTTGACTATTGTAATTAGGGGTGCAAATGAGTCAAGTTTTGGTCTAATCGAACCGAGTTTCAACTTAGTTTTATGAAACTCAAACTCGAGCTCTCAATGTAAAACTCAAACTCGAGTTTAAAAAAATAAAAAAAATAATTATTTTATTTTTAAAAATAAATAAAATAATAATTTTTCTTAACAAATAATAAAATATTAGAGATATATATGTAATTTTACTATTAAAATAAAAATAAAAATAATATAATCAAACTGGCTCGCAAGGTAATGAGTTGTGTATATTTGAGTTCGAATTTAACTTGATCAACTCGACCTCGAACTCGCTTACAAGCGACTCGATTTGTTTGCAACCCTAATTTTAGTTACATTTTCTTTTTCTGTCAACTTACCATAATACCATTACCAAGTACAAAAAGAAGTTGAGTTAGGGCTCTAAGCCCAATAAGGTTAAAGAGTCAAGCTCGATGAATAATGTTGAATGCCTAAATGGGTGTCTTTTGGGTCGAAGGTGTCCTCTTTTATTTGGGCCGTCTTGGGCTTAGCAAAACAACGTTGCATGGTTGTAATTGAAGTTCCACTTACACTGCCCTGTACTCTGAAGTCTAAACAATTGTGTTTTTTTTTTTTAAAAAGAATCTGAACAATTAGTTTTTTTTTTCCTTTTTTGTATAGTGCAAGTGGAAGGAATCGAACTCGAGACATTTCACTAACACTCCTTCTTCTCGAACCACTCAATGCATCTCTCAGCAATCTGAACAATTGGTTTGATTGACATAACAATGACAATTTCCTAAAATTGGCAGAAATCCTATTGTTGAATCTTGCTGTTTTCTCCATTCATTGTGTGAGAGGATGATTGGAAATAAGAACAAGTATCATGCATGAGATTAGGGCTAAGCTATTACATGCCTCCTTACGAGGTAAACAAACTATTCATAATGTTTGGGAACTAGTATGGTGTTACATTTTTGTCGTCCTTTGGAGTAACATTTTTATCCTTGCCTTAAAAGGAAAAAATGGTCCAATCATATTCCAAGAATATTCTTTTTTGTTTTATTAGAAACTTTAAATTATGTTGATAACTACCTATAATTGTAGGTAACTAGGAAGTGTCTATGCTCTCTCTCTCTCTCTCTCTCTCTCTCACACACACACGCACACATATGAATAATTATTAAAATATATATATATAATTCTCACTATTTGTAGACATATAGGGTGTGCCTTGGATCACTAATAATAATATAAAATGGCGACCTAATGTTAAGAAAAAAAAGTTGTCATTTTACGTGTATGCTACTTATTTTACCCTTGGATGATTTACCAATAAAAAATTACCATAACCCCTGACATTCAAAAATAAATAAATAAATAAAAGAAGAAGAGTAAATTTTATATACATTGATAGTGTATATATTATCACTGTTTGATTCATAACATGTGTGCAAAAGTTGAATTTCAAATTCAAATTTTGTATAGTTGTCATTCATCCAACGCTGATAGTATATACACTATTAGCATAGAAAAGATTAATCCAAACTATTTATTACAAAAAAAAACCTCACGCATTCCTTAGAGAACCACAAAATTACCCATTTAACATTCATGTGGACTTTCCTTCTGTTTGAGATGGTACTGTGTCTTTCAAAAAGAAAAAATAGCAAATAAAAAGTTATCTGGCGCTGGAATTAATTTCACTGCGGCAAGAGTATTAACATTTGCTAATTTAAAAAAGTGTTTCTCATGAGGTTTCTAACAATTGCAACCACCTCTTTTGAGGTTTGAAAAAATTACACTTACCTCCCTTGGTATTATGAAAAGACTATAATAGTCTTGACAACTCTATAAATTCTAAGTGAAAAGTGGGTATCAAGGAAAAAGAAAATCACATTTTGCAAATATTTCTTTATCCAAAAGCTCTTACCTCATCTCACTTAATACATTATATTCAATTCCTAGGTTATTTAAATGGAATTCTTGCTTAATTTTATAAATAGCCGACTAGTTGGGATGCATTTCTTAAAAACATTTTCTTCACAATTTACTGAGCAAAAAAAAAAAAAGAAAAGAAATCCAAACATTAAAAATAATGCCTTAAGACATGGCCTAAATTTTACTATAAAGAACTGCCTTAAAATTTTTTACTTAGTAAGTAATGCTGATATTTGATTTCTTTTATCATTCAATTTGTTTTGAAAATCAAATAGGGGCATCATAGGATATTCATTAGATGTCTTGTGCTTACATCAGCATTTGTTATCAAAAGATACTTTATAGGGGAAGAATATGTAATTTTTCAAAACTCAAGAGAGGTGATTGCAATTGTCAAAAACCTCAAGGGAGGTTTCTAAAATTATCCCTTAGATAATACATAGTGGGCTTATGTATAAATTTCTAAACTATAAAGGAGTTATATAGTAAAATATCAAATCATGTGAGGATAAACAATAATTTATCCTAATACATATGTCAATGATGGCATCCTATTCTTGGCTCTTCTCTTGTCCTTGAGCGGACTTTCATTTGGTGTAGCACCCAAAAATATTTCGACTCTCAATCGCAAAAGTTTCCCTCAGGATTTCATATTTGGAGCAGCTTCTGCTGCCAGTCAGGTAGAGACTACAAACTTGCAACTTTAATTTTTGGTCACATTTTAGATATACTGTATGTGAAATTTTAATGTCTTTTATCCTATTGCAGTATGAAAGAGCAGCATTCGAAGATGGAAGGGAACCGAGCATATGGGGTACCTTCAATCACCAATATCCAACTACGAAATTGGAAATTTTTGAAAAAAATACTTTGTTTTACTTAACGAGGATTGTTATTACAGGAAGTCACTCAACATAATTAAATGAAAATAATGACAATGAATTAACATTACGTTGATTTTTGTAAAATTTGTTCTCATTTTTAACGTTGCAGATAAAATAGCAAATCATTGCAACGGTGATGTAGCTGATGATTTTTATCATCGTTACAAGGTATGGTATACTAAATTCCTTCACAATGACAATTCGACAATAATGTAAAAAATCACTTTGTTACTTAAAAACTTGCACTTGAGTTGAAAAGGCAATGGTGACATGCAGGGAGACATAAAATTGATGAAATTCTTAGGCTCGAATGGTTTCAGATTTCCATCTCATGGCCAAGGGTTATACCTCGTAGGATTCCTCTTTTATTTTTCTCATTATTAATTAAACATTCACGACACACATTCCTATTTATACGATTTGATGCGTTATTTTTTTAAATTGGCTTAATTAACAATCTTACAGAAATCAATTCGGAATGCTTTTTTAATAGGTGTATCAATACTTTGTAAAATATTAATTGGTGAATGTAATTCACAATTCTCCCAGATGGGAAGCCAAGTAAAGGTATGAACAACGCTGGCATTGCCTTTTACAACGATCTCATCAATGAGCTACTTGCAAACGGTCAGAATGCTCAATTTAATTAACAGTCTTCCACTGGGATGTTCCTCAAACTTTGGAAGATGAGTGTGGTGGTGGATTTCTGAGCCCACGCATTGTGTAAGTGATCTTCATTTATCATGATCATCACATACTTGTTAATGTAACTGATTGAAGACGAATTTTTTTTTATCTATTTATTTTGCAGGGATGACTTTGTAGATTTTGCAGAACTTCGTTTCAA